TTACCTTCCGACTCTAGGATTTGAGCCTCTTCTTCCTTTCTGCCTCTGCTTGCATTTCCATAGCTGCCCTCACTCCACGAGGAGGAGATATGTCCCCTGATGAAACAAATTAAAATGCCTGGTTTAGAAGGGATTTACTGCAACCAGACTAATTTGTTTAATTATATTCAAGGAAATATTGCATACTTATTTCATAACGCAGACATTTCAAACCCCAATCCTTGGCAGCCTCATTTATGGCTATCTACAAGCGGAAACAACTGGTCAAATCAAAAGCTATAGTACTGGCAAAGGTGCAAAAGCATATACATCTCAATTTGCTACTTACATAACTTGTCTAAAATTTTAAAGCTCAAACATGGATCAATGCGAAAGCTGAAAATAACAAAAAGCAGCCTAACACATGCCAACCCATGCTCTGGAGAAAAAGTAATTCATGCTTTAAGGTCTCTTTCTACTGCTTCATATAAGATCAACAATTGGACTAGAGGATCCCCCACCCATGGAATGATTTGGGAGATCAAATAGGAACCACAAAAATCAGCTTAAAGGTCTTGCACTTAGGTCAATTTTGTATGTGTTTGCGGGCTTGGCAAAATCAGCTAGCATTCAAATATCAATAATTGCATGGTTTATGCATTGCGTTCAGATAATCACAAGACAACACAAAACATGCATGAGACTGGGAGGAGAAAGGAGGGGCTTTGTGAAAACCAAAAACAAACAATCAAACTTACCACAATCTTCTCGTTCAGAGCATCTCTCTCCTCGAAAGTCTTGTCCAGAGTGATCTTGCCAAGCTCGCTGCGCATGGTTGTCTGGGCAAGTTGAAGGACAGAATATATAGGATTCTCAACTCCATAGGAGGCCAACTTAGGGTCAACAATCTGAAATTTAAACGAAAACCATAAACAACAAACCTTTAAACCAGAGGGAGGGGGAGAGTGCGTCACTCAAAATTTACAGAAAACCTTGACCAAAAATGAATCAGTAAATTAAACATGTAGTAGTTAAGAGAAGAAAAAAACCTTGACGTAGAGAACACCATCAATAAGGATGCTGACATTGTCCTTGGTAATAGCAGACTGGTCGGGAACTGGAATGGCCTCTTCCTTGAGGGAATGAACGTAGGCAATTCGATCCACGAAGGGAATCAAGAAGTGGATTCCAGGAGTTAAGGTCTTGACATACTTTCCGAAACGCTCAACCACAAAGGCCTTCCTCTCAGGTACGATTCGAATTCCCCAATTGACGGGCGGCGAAATCTCAAACCTAGGTCCAGAAAACCACAGTTCCAAAGAGCAGACGAGTAAATATACTTCTTCATGAGGGGGAAATAAACCACAGTTCAGAAGAGTAGAACGAGTAAATATACATCTTCATACGCAAAAAAAAAAAAAAAAAGGTAAAAACAGTTGAAAATTACTCCCACGGATACAAATCATGGGTAGCGACAAAGTTGATTACCGGGTGGCTGGGTCGCGACTGTTGCGGAAGTGGCGGACAGAGGCAACGGAGAGAGCAGGAGGAAGAGGAGAGAGTTGGCGGGGAGAGAGGTGGTTGGAGAGGAGGGAGGAGCGGTTGAGGATGGCGGGGGAACGGTGGAGATAGCGCGGGTGGTGGCAATCGCCGGCGACTGAAGGAGGAGGGTGAGGTTTTTGAGGGGCCTCAACTGATTGACGGAACGAGAACAGGATCTCACGATATTCATCTTCCCTGACCGACGACGACGCCGCAAAGACCACTTTGAAATTTTGTTCAGCAGTGAAATTGAAAAAATGCGGTGGCAGTGGTAGTTAGCAGACTAGTATTAGTATAGAGTGGAGTTTGCGGGGGAAAACTGAAAAGCCCTACCAAAACCCTCCCCGGTGTGACCCTTTCTCCAAGTCACGATTTTTCATTATCCAATTCCACGTGAAATCAAATCAAGTTTCAAGCAATGTTTAAAAAACCGAACCGTTAATCGAACCGGTGAAGTGGAAGGGTCGAGGTTCAACCGGTCGGACCGGTTCAACCTCGATTCAATGAATTTTTTAAAAAATAATTTATATAAATATATATGTGCACAAAATAAGACATGTAATGGATAATTTAATACTTTATATGATGAAAAGTTTACTATTTTTGAATAACTTGGATTTTTAAAAATAAAATTTTTAAATTATAAGTTAAAACAAATAAATTTCATCTCAATTTCAATTATATCTACCAAAAAAATCTTAAATATAATCCAAAAATATCACAATATTTGAAATTATACAAAATTCACGTTTATGAGAATTTAGACATTGTGAACTTAAATTTTAATTTACATTTTGAAATTTAAATTTACAATTTAAAAAAGGAAGTTTGGAGTTCGAAGAAAATCAAGAGAATTGAAAATAGAAATGCAAATTTGATAAGAAACAAAAAATGAGATAAAAGTGAGTGGTTGTGGTATTAAATAAATTGGGTTAAAGAAAAATAATTCTTTTTTAACTTTTTTAAATTTAATGGACAAAAACAAAATTAAAATATGGAAGAAAAAATCAATAAATTAAAAATAAGAGGTTTGATTAAAAATGAGTGGCAAAAGAAAAGATGATAGAGAGAGAGAGAGTGTGTGTGTATTGAAGATTAAAAAGAAAGAGTCATGAAAAGATGATATTTTGTAAAAAAAATGGAACAAAAGAAATATGAGTGTTTGTTTTATATAAATAAGTTATCAAAAAAAACTAATAAGATGTGATAGTGCAACGGTTACTACATTGGTCTTTTATTACAAAGGTCTTGAGTTCGAATCTTGGTAACTACATTTTGCAAAAAAAAAAAAAAAAAAAAAAGAGGAAAACTCAAAAACCGGAAATAACCGGTTCACATCCGGTTCAGCGGTTTGGCGGTCCGACCGGTTTTTTATCGGTTTCTTGACAAAGTCAAACCTGGCATTGAATCGGACCGGAGCCATGGCCGGTTCGCGATTCAACCGGTCGAACCCGCCGGTCCGGTCCGATTTTCAAAACACTGGTTTCAAGTTTTGGCTTTCTTCGCTTTACAATATACTAACAGTTAGGTTGCATCCGATAAAACTGCAATCTAAAAAAATTTGAATTTATTAAATTATTAAATATTAAATATAATATATTTGAGTGTACATCATATTAGCCTATCACTTAATAATAAGAGTAAAATTTAGTACTACTTAATATGTTAAGATTTGAATCCATTAAATTTAATTATTGAATTGAATTATCAAACAGAGCATTACGCTATTGATCTACTACTACTACTCCCCATTCAATGAATATGATAGTTAGGGTGCGTTTAATAAAATTGAAATGTGAACTCATTAAATTATTGAATTGTTAAATATTAAGTCAAATATTTGAGTGTATATCATATTCAATGATAAGTGAATAAATTATTATTTATTTTTGGGAACAAGTTTTGCCCAGAAAATTCAGTGGCACTTAATTAATTCGGATATTTAATTTTTTGTTATCAAACACATCTGAATATATTATGATCTAAATAAATTAAATTTAAGCATTGAATTGCATTATCAATCAGAGGCTTAGTCACAAAACAATCAAAAACAACGGAAGCCCAAAATAACTACTAGTATATTAGTATAAAATAAATACAAAATTTCAATTATGTAACTCATTTTTCGCACTATTTTAGAAGGGGCACTTTAGACCATGTAAATAATCCACGTTATTAAATTTAGCTCCAAAATCACCAACAAATTTTTTTTTTTTTTGTTTGTTTGGTTCACCCTCAAATTCATGCACCGATTGAACCATCCCAAAGTAAAGAAGCCATGATGGTTATTAGGCTAAAGCCCAAAAATCTTAGCCATCAATGAAGCATTAACAAAATGAAGCATTATATATACCGTTAGATCAATCTAACAAAATGAAGTCCTATTATTCACTATTTCTCGTCATCTGCTCCAATTCTTCTTATCTTAGAAAGAAAGCTTAAGGATTTGTTGAAGAATTTTTTTTATTTTTTATTTTATAAAAAAAACTAGTACCCTACGAGTAATCATTAGTGCATCTAATTCAAATTATTTACGTACAAATATTCATATGTTACTGATGAAATTGTTTAAAACACTTTCTCAGTGTAAGTGTTACTTTTTCTTTAAATGCTTCCGTTGATTGCCATTTCTTTCGGCCTTTTATCAGTTTTTATAGCTACGAGGAATAATAATAATAATAATTAATCGTGCAATCCTTAAAATTAATCCTAATAAATTTTATTAGTAGGCGTCTCCTGTTTTCCTGCTCATTCTTATTTTAATTTTATTGCACGTGACTAAATATTTAATATTGCAAAAATATTTATCATCGCATACAACAAAAACAAAAAGGATCGCATCTCATTCCAAGAGATCCATGGACCAGGATTCTACACTGTAAAGGCAAATATAGCCAAAGCGAAGCAAACCTATTTTGTCACAGATATTCATTTTTGCGGAGAATAAAGAAATTCTAGCCAAATTTAAGGAATATCACCAGCATTATGATATTCTCGCATATATAGGAAAGTTGCAACGCAGCCGATAAACCTAAAATTGACCAAAATTACGAGTCAAATCAAAGGTTTAGGTTGTGTTTGGATTGCATTTTCCGTCATTTTTCATGAAAAAATTACTGTAGCGATTTGATATATGTGAGAAAAAAAGGTGATAAGAAAATGTGATCACGAAAAACGACAATATTTTCCAACGGAAACAAGTAATCCAAGCAAGGCCTTGGGTTAGCACCTGTATTCCAATTCTGATGAAATTTACCATCCCAATAATGCAGTCGCCCATTGCTTTCGACCTTTTGTGTCACTATCATCTCAAGCTGAGCCCGAGACTTGAATGAGTGACATCATTCAAGCAGTAATTTTCGTACTTTACTGTGTCTTCGGGCTACGAATTGAACTAAACCGAAAGCTACAACGACGGTCACAAAAAACAGTAAAAACAGCTCGCTTGCAGCATTATACGTCCTAGAAAACCAAACAACTAACTCGAAAACATTTGAAACCATAACTGTATTAAGCAAAGTCTGATGAAAAGAGCCTTGCAACACAAAATTTTTAAGTTCAAAATAGAAGTCATCTAATAACAAATCTCCACAAGTAACTCGGATATGATAAAAGGCATTAGCCCAAGAGAACTAAGAAATATAGCACACTAACTCTCCTCATTCCTCCTCCACTATTCGCCCCTTCTCACTGACATAGATACCATCAAGGAACTTCCGGATATCTTTGTTCTTCACATGGCATTTCTGTCCATAATACGGTAGTACATTAGCTATTCAGCCAGTTCGGCTACATATTAAAGACAATGAGAAGGAACAAAACTTGCAGATTCAAATGTCATAAATATTTTGAAAAAAAAAAAGTCAAAAATATGGCACAGAGTGACTCTTACTTGGTTTATGAGGGCTGCAGATCGGGAAACAAGCTCAATGTCATTGCCATCCAACACCAATTCATCCTTAACCTTCTCAGACCGGACAACACTGACTCCTTCAAGCATGTCCACCTTCCTCACCTGATGCAGAAAACTTAATACATTACAAAATGTTCCCTGTCAGAAATTTCAAGCAATCTCAACATGCCTAATGGAGGCAACCCATTGGAAGCAATTCCATAGTCCCCCTCATTGTCTAACAAGATAACAGAGAATCCTAACCTGCCAATAAATTACTTCAAAAGAAAGCAAAAATGAACCCTTATTAAAGGAGGAGCCGTTTATGATTAGCCGAGAAATAATATGAGAACAAGTTTATACAAACATCGAGCAGAAAGGTTCAAACACGCATCACTGGTCTAGTAGGAAGGTTCAACCATGACCTGGTCATTATTTATTAGCCTCAACGACACTGGTCTAGAATGTTCCAGCAGAACTCAGGAAAGAAAGAAAAGGGCAGAAAATTAAAAATAATATAAAATAAAATCAAAATACAGTATGTTTGGCAAAGGACAGTAATTACTTCATTTAGAGTCAAAACCATAATGCCAATAACATCTACTACCCATTTCTATGAATTAAAGATGCATATAGTATTAATAGTACTAAAACTATTGCATCTCCAATGACCAGTGAGACAAACAAAACGATTCCAAACACAGTACAATCACATAGCAAGCAAACTGGACACTAAAATCGACAAGCTAATGTAAACAGGTAAGCAGTCCAGATTAGCAATTACATCACTACCAAAACCAGATAAGTAATCGAGCAACCTCACACACCCAACCACGGAAATCTCAAGTTGGGGACCATTCTCGGCTTGGTTGGTTGCAAACTGGAGGGTCAAAAGCATCCAACGATGAACCAGAAATGAACAAACACAAAAGGCACACTCAAAAGGGAGGGGAAGAGGAAGAACTCCTCCGCACAAGTCAAGTCCTCTCGGAGCATTACTAAATCAAATCAACAATTCGCATGCATGAAAATGTAAAAGAAATCAGAAAAATGACAAATCTAAAGAGAAAAGAAAAGGCCCAAATGTTTCATCATGCGAGCAGATACCTTCTTCTCGCCAAGGAAGTTACGGATCTCAATAGAACGATTGGAGTTGGTGATGGAGGCATTGATTGGGAAGTGAGCGTAGACGAATCTCATCTTGTAGCGGTAACCCTTGGTAACGCCGCTGATGAGGTTCTCAACGTGGCTGAGGGCAGTGCGAATGGCGGCGGTGGTCTTGCGGGAGCCGAACCAAGCGTCGACCTTGAGCTTCCTCTTTCCGGTGGCCTCATCGGTGATGAGCTGGAAGTCGAGGTTGAGATGCTTGAAGTTGCGAGTAAGCTTCCCGCGGGGTCCCTCCACCTCGATCTGCTTGGCTTTCACCTTAATCTTAACACCGTCGGGAATATCCATAGTCTCCGATGACAGAATCGTCTTCATCTTCGCTGCACGTTGTACAGGACGATCACTCGCAGTAACAACTCGTCGTCCTCGTCCTGGAGAGTGCAAAAGAACTGGCGATGGCACCTTAAACCCTAACGAAGCCACAAAGGAGTCCCTTTTTGCTTTTGGGTGCTGGCCCTTCAAGAAACACCTTCTGGCCCAACTAGAATTGAATCTTTGATTTCTTGGACGCCTCCTCCAATTACATGGGCTAAGCTTATAACGCTCACGGTTCAGCCCACGATGATCCTGGATTGGCAGGGGCGGGAGGATTATTAAGGGATTGGACTTTGGGCTTCCATAGAAATCTGGGAGCAGCAAAAAAGTGCCTTGGCAGGTTGTTGGGCATCAAGGGGATGGTCTAACGCCGGCTGTCCAACTTAGCATCCCTGTCTTGGAAATTGAATTGGACGCCTTACTTGCGGTTAATTTGATAAAAGTAAATAAATTTGACACCCAGGAATTCTTTCCTCTTTTTTTTTTTTTTTTTTTTTTACATGATGATTGCAGAACCCTCATGGACAGCTACAACAGGTCGCATTAAGGCATAAATTCCGAGATTATTTTGTATCCACCCATAATTTTGGAAGACATTAGGGGAATATCCCTGCCTATGACTGAAATGAACTAGTAGTGGTGATATGGTTAAAGGGGTAAAGTGATAATAATCCTTTATTTAATAAATTGCATCTTTCGTACCAGGAAAAAAAACACACACACACACATGGGTATATATCTGGATTTTTTGGAACCCCAATACAATTTTCTGAGCAAAGCATGGAAAATCTTTTTCCCCTTGATATTTGTCCATTTTGTTGGTCCACCAATAAGAATATATATATATATATATATAATATATATAGAGAGAGAGAGAGAGAGAGAGAGAGAGAGAGAGAATTATATGCACAATATCTCACAGAAATCAAATATTGTGTTTTGATTGTAAATTATTTGAGATATTTTTATTATAGCACTTTTTGTGATGTGATGTATGCGAGATAAAAATATATATTAAAAATTGTAATGATAATATAAGTAAATATATTTGGATAAATAATCTTTTTTTTTTTATCAATTGGATAAATAATCTTTGTCCAGACACACTCAAAGTAAGGAGGCTCTTGAAATATATTAATACTATATATCCACGGCTAGAATACGGACAAGCATGTTATGGCTTTTGAGAGACACCACAAGATGGGGGTGCAAAAGGCACAAGGCGATGGGGCAATCATGCACCTTTCGGCTGCGGCCAATACTTTACAAAGAATCAAATAGACAAATTGGATTTTACTTTCTTTATTATTATTTCTTGATTATTTTGTTTTATTAGATTGGATTGTAATGTGGGAATAGGTTTTGTGTTACACAATAAGCTGTAATATTCATAAAGGTGCCGGTGCGTAACAAAAATAAATGTAGTTCAATGTGTGTAATAGAAGAGAGTAATGAATGTGGATCGGGCAGCATCATTCATCAAAGCATGTTGGACAAAAGTGAAAGGATATATTATACTGATTGAAGCATGTTGCCGGTTTTTTAAGTTATTGCGGGATTAGATTTGTTTACGTAATTCTTACTTCTGTAAGAAAATGTCAGAAAGAAAATTCATTCTTAAGGGCTCAGAGGATCTTTATCTCTTAGCAGCAGGAGGACACCCTGTGGGGTTTTCTATCCCACTTCGATATTGGGAAGGAAGGATTTGGGTAGATAAGTCCTTCACAGGATTTCAAAAGTTATCGATTTTTTAAGTAACTGTAGAGATTAGATTTATTTACGTAAATTTTTACTTCCGTAAGAAAATGTCGTAAAGAAGCAAATGACGTGACCGGTTCATCACCAATCAAGTTGAGCGTAGAAATTTACAACCGGCCCGGCCCACATCCATGCAATGCTGAGCGACTAGTTGTACTCGTAGTTGCTGTATCCCACTTGAATGAATTTTGACGGTCCTCTTTTTTTATCTCATTGAAATCTCATTTGTCGTCTTCCTCGCGTTTGTCCGGTGATGTCCTCTAATCCATCTATCGCCACGTGGAAAATTTTTTTATTGGCCGCTGTTGGCAATTGCCAGGAGTTCCACATAGATTTTTCTTTTTTTTTTTTGGTGGTACTATGATGCAGACTTTTTTATTATTGTACGATAATAATAATTTGGATAGCACAAATATCTCAAATAATATTTCATCTGTATCATAAATACATTTTTCAATCCACTTTTTTATATATTCAATTATCTTTTTATCTCACATACATCACATCACAAAAAGTGTTACAGTAATTATTTCAAATAATACTCTATCCAAACAAACCAGTTATAATTTATTTTTGTTTCAACGTATTGCTGTAGTACCTAAAACCTCTGTTTTTAAATTCGGACCAGATCGACCTGTCCGAATTAATCCTAAAAACCAGAAAATCAAAAATTCGGTCAAATCAGGTCAAAACCCCGGGTTTGATAGGGTTTTGACCCAGTTTGACCGGAAAAATGAACCGGAACTCTCTTTTGTTTTTTAACTTTTTTTGAAAGGTCAGAATATTTTTAATATGATGTTTTGATCCTTAAGGTGCTAAAAATTATTAACATATCTCAAATATTTCATATTTTATAAATGTATACTTAAAATTTGGTGTTATTTTTCAATTAAATCCATAATTTTAATTCTAAACTCGTTAATGCTTATTAAATAATATAAATTGCTATTTGATTGCTCTAATTTATTTGTATTTTCTTATTGAATATATTTGAAACATCAAATATATATGAATATATCTTTATTAATATTAACATGTTGTTAAGTATTTTACATACAATATTTTATTTTTTAAATAAATTTTATTTATGACGTCATTCGTTCAACTCTTATCGAATCCGGTTGAACCGATTAACCCCTGACTCCTGAGTTCGACCGAATCGATATCCGGTCCGATTCTGAAAATATAACCTAAAACATTCATGGGTCTCGGAAGACTACTCTACTAGTACTTACTGAGTACCAAAATGTTTGTCTTCCAATTGAGTGCTGCCCTTAATCTGGTCAATGGAGGTTTTCCAATCCCACTAGACTCAATTAATTGCCTTGGAGATGAATAAAAATTAAAAATGGCAATGGCCAACTCTGAATTGGCATCTGGCGAGAAAGGACATTTTTGAAATTCTGAAATCAATAGAAGAAAAAAAGGTTTGTTTGTGTTTTGGTTGAGGAAGAGCCCAAGAGCTGTTTTGCTTTGCATGATTGATGAATTGAACACAAGCTGTACTTGTTTTTGAGAGATTTGAGAGAAGTAGTTAACGGGTTCCTTAAACTCGTACTAACAAAGTGTAATGTTCGATTGTAGGACATGATAGATTAAATAAAAATACGCCGATGGGCAGTTGGTTGAAGTGGGACGATGTGGAAAGTTGTGACTCTGCCTCCCACTCACCCTTTAGAATAACAGGCCTGTTTGGAACCTGAGTTTTTTAGGAGTTTGTTTAAAACTTTACTGTAGTGCACTGTAGAAGTTTTTAAAAAAATTTTGTAGAAGTTTTTATAAAGTGAAAATTTTTTTTGTAAGGTGTAAAATTTTGTAGAAGTTTTTGTAGAGTGAAAAACTTTTTTTCCTTTTCTTTTTTTTTTCTTTCTTTTTCTCTTTCTCTTTCTTTTTCTTTTCTTTTTTCCTTTTTTTTCTTTTCTTTCCTCTCTTCTTCTTCTTCTTCCTTTTTCTTCTTCTTCTTTCTCTCTTTCCTCCCCGTTACCTCCCAGCAGCACTCACGCCCCGCCACCCCTCTCCTCCCTTTCTCCTTCTCCTCCCGCCACCTCCCCTCTGCCACCGTGACCCCTTCCCCCCGCCACCCCCTGTGCCCCTTCCCCCTGTGCCACTGCGACCCCCTCCCCCCGCCACCCCCTGCCCTTTCCCCAGCTTCTCCCGCCACTTCCCCTGGGCAACCCCTTCCCTACCACCCCTATCCTTTCCCCAGCGCGACCCCCTCCGGTGGATGGCGCTGAAATAGTCCCTCGGTTTCCGGTAAAAAGCATCGAGGAATTTACGGAACTTGGAACGCTTCGTCGCGGAGGATTTGCTCTTCTACATCCAGTTGAATAAAGAAACCATCACGTTGAATTTGATGTCAAATTCCTCCATCCTGGACTTTTTTTTCCCCTTTTTTTGCTTTTTCTAAGCTATGATTTTGCTTGTTCGGTTCTTGGGGTTCTATGTTCATTTTTTGTGTTTGAAAATGAATGATTTAAAAACCGCCTGAAAGGGGGAGGGGGAAGGGGGCAGGGGAGGCAGAGGGGAAGAGGGGAGGGGGAGGGAAAGAAAAAAAAAACCTTATGTATGGCCGGAACTGGCCGCCGGAATAGTAACCGGTGTCGGAAGTGGTGGTGGAGGTGGTGGCCGGAGGCTGAGGATGTGGTGGGTTGGGTGGGGGAGGAAAAAGAAAAAAAAGTTTGAAGGGAAAGTTTTTTTTGTGTATTTTTTAAGTGTGTAGGTAAAAAGATTTGAGAAGTTTTTTGGGGTTCCTGTAACAAAAGTTGTTAAAAAACTAGTAGGTAAAAAACTTGGTCAAAAAATTCACTTTCAAACAGGGCCAACGTTTTGAAAAAGAAAAAAAAAACGTAATATTTCACTTAATGGAGTGAAATTTATTCATATTCACGCGTACACCGTCACAATAAATTCAAATTAAACGTATCTTCTCTTCTGGACCATCAACTAAGCCATGCAATTTGAGCATCATATATCAAAGGGAGTCGAGCCTCTCCGCCTCCACCGCCGCGCCCTTTGGTCTTCATGATTCATCCCTACGCGGTTGCAATGGTGCTGTGCTGGATTGGATTATGCCAGCTGCTTTTTTTTTCTTTTTCTTTTTCTTTTTCTTTACTGTTGATGGGAAAAATTTGCGTGCGTGAAAATAGATAGAAGCTTCTGCTCCATCTCACACAAGCATCTCTGCTATCTTTTGCAGTAGCAGACAGTAGTATTTACCATCCCTGTTATCCACCATTAATTCAATTCATATGCTCTCCTTTTTGCCTTATCCTTTTTTGGCGTTAAAATTGTCAAATCAAGCTTTCGGCCAAAAGGATCACGGCAGGGAAAAGGTTTTGGAATTTTATGGGTCCTAACTTTCGTAATTGTTGTTGTTTC